AGTGAAATAAGACAGACAAAGAATGACAAATACTGTATGATACCACCTACACGTGGAATCTAAAAAGTAGATCTCCTGGAAACAGAGTAGAATGGTGGTAGCCAGGAGCTTGGGGTGGAGAAAATGAGGTTTTTCGAAAGGCACAAACCCCCAGTAATAAGATGAGTAAGTTCTGGGGTCTAGTGTCTACCAGAACTATGTACTGGTGACTACAGTTAATGACACTCTGTACTACACACTTGAAGGCTGCTGAGAGAGTAGATCTTAAATATCTCTAACACACACACACACACACACAAATAATTGTGTGAGCTGATGGAAGCGTTAACTAAGTTTAACTAAGTATTAACTAAGTTTATGGTAAACTGTGGTAATCATTTCACCATATGCATGAGTACCAAATCATCATGTTGCATACCACTGTTTACCACAAACTTGTATTTTATTCTATCTCAATAATAAACCCCACAGTTAAAAATGAACATAAAAATAACACATACAGGCAAATTCCCAAAGGGAAAGAAAAGCCACGTGGCCATTTGTCTGGAGGCCATGTTTCATCATCTAAAATCCTAGTTTCCTCATCGCTACTTGTAGTATAAGAAAAGGAAGACAGTTTCAATCTGTGTATCCAGAATTTTCAACAGAACTTATGTAATTTCTTCTCCTCTTAGAGACAGAAACGTAGCAGTCAAGGTGATTATGCTTAGGTTACACATTGCACGTTTTATTTTAAAATGGATAGTAAATTAATTCACATTTTGTACTGATCAGAAAGACATGACCAAAAGAATATTGGACTCTGTGAAAAGAGTGGAGCCAATTAGATTCTCCACTCACCTGGCAACACAAAAGACATTAACCAATGAGAAGGCCTAATGCCTGATGTAAGAGGCATGGTAGAAAGAGACCAGGCAAGAAAGAATTGGCCTGTTCTGACAGGGGTCAAGGTAAGGTCAGCAGCAGAAGGAGGCTGAAGTTAGAGCTGCGAAAATATACAGGGTCTGGCAGAAGTAAAGCCTGCTTGAGTGTGGTTGGTAGGGTAATAATACGGGTGTAATAATTTGCACTTTTAATTAGAACATTCCACCTACAACATCATATGGTGTGCTTGAGTGTGATGTTGTTACGTTACAGAATTACATGCTTATGAGTTTGTGATAAAAAGGGGGCGCTGTTTGAGCCGGGCCCTGTGTATCTTCAGAGGTGGTGAGGAGAGCCGTCCTAATGATTTCTGCATGAGAACTCCCTGAGTCCGGCTTAACCCTTTGCCAGCTGCACCCAAGGAGAAGTGGGGCCTGTGGAGCGTGGGGTCAGGAGTGGGAGGATGGGGAAATGGGTAATCAGAGGGGCTAGGATTAACCTTTTAGTCCTTCTCATGTTCTCCAATGAACAAGTGTGATGTTTCTGCTCAGAAAAAAAGTGATTTTTTAAGAAATGATGATTGTAGGTAATATGTAACATGGACCATGTTTATGATACAAGTGCCAAAGCAGGTTACACAACTGTGCAAATTCTACTCATAAATATGAGGAACCAAAGACTTGGGAAGGAAAATTAACAACAATATTATATTAACAGTAAGATTATAAATTACTGTTTAACCTAATGTCTACATATTCCAAAATATGGTTACATATTTAAATCATTTAAAAATATTTAAATGTAATTTGTGTTCAATTGTTGTGCAATAAATGTAAACTAATGCCATTTGGGATTTATGTGTCCTAACAGCACCATTAATTCCAGCCTTTAAGCAGGGTACAGGATGGCCAACGAATCTTATTACGTATTAAAACTATTTTTTAATTTGGTGCATTAAACAATAGACAAACCTGAAGTTTAAGTCATAAACCATGTGTAACAGTAACCACTGACTGACTGTTGATACCACCAGAATTTTGCATGTGGCAAATCTTTATTCCAATGAACCACATTTCTCAGCTAATCGTGGATGACTCTGTCATACACGGATTGCAGCTAATGCAGCCAAGCAAACACAGGAAAATCCACAAAGAGAATGTTATGGAAATTCTATGGATCACTACAGAAAATGTAGTGATCCTGCTTGGAGGAAAATCCACAAGGCCAGAGAATCTCAACTCCTGCAACTATTGTTCTTCAGAGCATTTCAAGAGCCCCTTGTCAGAGAAATTGAACTTGATCCTGCTTTTGATTTAGAATAAGCCCTTATCACAGAACTGTCACTTCCAAGCACTCCAACCTCGGGCACATGATGAGCTGTGACCTCACAGAAGCTGTAATCAGAGGCAAAGCGACAGGTGATAAACTATGAGGTTCCATGAGTTTTGATATAAATCAATAGAGAAATTTCATGTCTATTCAGTTAAGTCATTTGTAGCTTTATTGTCTTACAGGAAAAACAAACTGTGTCAAAACAAAAGCAAAGTCAGAATCTGCTGCTGTAATTCCTAAAATTTCTACTTTCTTAACATGCTTCAGCAAACCCTCTGGTTCCCATATCTGAAAACACCATTACCAACTCAAAGTACCTCTCCTTAACCCTACCCTGGGAACAAGGGTAGAATCCCATCGTGTTGGCAATTAAGAACTCACAACCGCAACCTTCTCCAGAAATCGCCCTCCCATGCTAGGAGGTGCCTGGTCCTCCCCATCTCCTCCCCAGCCACAGCTCCTAGTGAATAACTGAATGATTCTGGGCTCCAAAGGGTCAACCACATTATCTTTTGTGCAGTTAACATCCCAGAGCTTCCCACACCCCACACCACACACCTCCAATCCCCACAGCAACCACCGCTATCTCCATGTATCAGACCAAGGCCAGGCTTCATCTAAGACTACATACAGACTTTGGGGCTCTTCCTCCACCCCTTCCTCCCTTTCCCCCGTTTCCTGCTTCACTTCCTTCCTTAAGGTTTTCCCTGAATAGTATTTTCTCAATAAGTCACAGGCACGCAAACTCCTATTTCAGGCTCTACTTCCTGTAAGTGATGGTAGCAGATCAACAAAGGAATGTTGTCTTCCCAGGCGCGGGTGACAATGCTTAGGTCTGTTGATAAGCATGACCTCAATTTAGGGGGTGATGTCATGGCAACAAGATGCAGCTCATATTCTTGAACCTCACAGACTTGGATCTCAATTTTGTATCCAACGATTCTGAAATTAGTAGTGGAAGGAAGAATATCCTCTTGGCCTTCCAAATATCTCTCTCCTTCATAAAAACAAACGGCCAAAAATGCAGAATGCCTTTTAATGCCCCCACGTCAGCTGTAATACCTTGCCCTTCCTCACTTTCCTGCGACTCCTAAATCGTTGAACATATGTGGGAGAAGTTGTTTTGATTGGCTTTAATTCCTGCTAAAGAGAATTTTAATTTCCATTTCAGCCACTCGGGAAAAAAATTCAGAGGGCACCTTCCCTGTCCCAGGCCACAGGGAATAGAGCAATGAACACGACAAAGTCCTTATTTTCATGAGGCTTACGTTCTAACTGTAGAGCACCAAATACAAAAATACAGCTAATAGCAATTTCCAGTAGGAGTATATTCAACTTTTTCTCTAAACTTTACTATAACATTTTAAAAACATCTTTCCCTCCATACACTGCATTCTAGGCCAAAGAGCTTACCAGTCATTGATGTATTTTAATAAGTATAAATTGATCAAATGCTATAATTCCAATGATGTAATTTCTCAGTAGTGATAAGTTGGATGTTTCAGAGTAGACGCTTGGTTTACCCAGTAGTGCCATTGCCCAATTACTTGCATACTGATTGTGCCATGTGGTCATCAGTGTTCAACTCAGCCTTCTATTTACAACATACATTGAGAGGGCGCTCCCTGCGTGCCACTGTGGTAATGAAGACGTTCACTGGGTCCGTGCTGAGCGGGTGGGAATGAGGAAGCCCACTGCTCCAGCTGCAGAGGAGAGTGTGACCAGCACCTGACGGTGCCATGATGGAGGGAGGTACCAAGTGTCCTTAGCATAGAGGACATGAAATAAAAGCCTATGGAACGAACTAACAAATACATGCTTTGACCTACATAGTAAAAGCCAGCAAATGCTCCTGTTGTTCCCGATGGTTCTGAGCAAATACTTCATTTAATCTTAGACAAACATTTCCCTATTGATAAAGAAAATTAAACTAGAGGCATTTAAGAAATTATTTTTTAACTTAGTACGTGAATGATTATTGAGTGATGTTTCAGATGAATAGGTCATGTTCACTATAGCTGTAGAAATAAATATTGTGTGATGTAGCTAAGGTCTAAAAAGTATCTAATATAATAACAGAAAGTGTCTAATATAGTAGTCATTTTCAGGGACATTTTTAGTAGTAACATTCTGTTCCTCACATCTTCCAATACAGGTATTGACAAAGAGTATATTAGTTAGTCTATTTATCTACTCCTTTTCATTGTTGAAGCGAAAATTGACTCTGAATAAGTGGTCCCATTGATTTTCTAGGTAGCTTTCTTTCTTGACTATTTAATTATGTCCTATAGTTTCCTTCTGAGGACTTTGCAAGGTATTATGCAAATTCTCCTTTAGTCCAACTTGTTTTTCCCTGACCTTTCATACTTTGTAGATATTTCTGTTGTTTTTTCATGAACAAATTTCAGCTTCCAAGGTGTCTTTTACTTGCAGTGGCTGCTTTGCCTTCTTCCATTACTCATATTATAAAAATTAAATGATATACTTTATATGTACCTAGTATTCTTATACTTAACAAATAGCATAATTATTTTTGGCAATAATTAAAATATAAATTTTTTTCATCAAATGTGCATATTTCACCAAGTAGGAAAGTGGAGTAATACAATGAAACCAAGATTAAACGTCACTGCAAAAGTTTGGATCTCAAACTCAACAGATGAATTCAATGCCTTGTGTTTATGTTTTAAAAAGTAATTGTTTAAGTATAGAAGAGAAAAATATAAAAGATAGCCAAAATTTCATTGAAAAAAGTAAGTAAAAGATTTAGCTGTGAATTCAGTGGAATCAATATAGGGCACTTTATACCTACCTGGCAGGGGAGATACCACGACCACGAAGGTGGTTTTCCCAGGATGAAGCTGATCCATTGTACTCTGGGCGTGCTGACCCCTGAGATTTCTCCAGACGTGGGAAACTCAATGCAGAATTTGTGGTAGTGGGGGGATGCATTTGCACTCTTCCCTAGGGAGGGGAAAAAATGATATATATATAGGACACCTTAGGAATTAGATCCAGTCTTAGCTGTGCTCATAGAATCCATGTGAAATTACAGTTCGACTAGAATCTAATGTTTCTCAAAGTCTGTTCAGGAATATTTCTCACCTAGAAACTTTTATTTTCATCATCAGCAATTTCTTACGATCTCAATGCTTGATCAACCTGAGCCACTAAACTGTGTACTGAAACAACTGGAGCTACTTAAGAGTTAAATAAAGTGCTCCACTGAGGAAATCCAAAGAATGAGAATAAGAGGGCAAGCAGAAAATGTAGAAACAATGAGGTGAAAAAGCAGAGCTGAGCAGAAGCTAATAAATACTTTCTAATCAAATACCAATGAAATGCTTTCTATTTTCCAATGGTACATCATATGCCAGCGAATGAATGACGATATTAAGTCAGTGAACTAAGTACATGGATCCATAATTCACAGATAACTAAATAAATATCTGCATTTATCTTCTCTCCCACTGCCTGGATTAGATTTATCATTGCAAGTATATGAATTGTTACTGTTTGCATAACTGCCCTTGATGCGTGAGATGCTAAGTGGTTAGCATAGAAGTAGACCCTAACGACACATTTCAATATCATATCATGACTACTAGGGAAATGGTATGCTATCAGTATTTATTTAATTTCTTTTTTAGAAAGTTAGACTTCTTGCCCTTGTGGGTGTGGCTCAGTGGATTGAGTGCCAGCATGCAAACTGAAGGGTTGCCAGTTTGATTCCCAATCAGGGCACATGCCTGGGTTGCGGGCCAAGTCCCCAGTGGGGGCCATGTGAGAGGCAGCCACACATTGATGTTTCTCTCCTTCTCTTTCTCTCTCCTTGCCCCTCTCTCTAAAAATAAAAATAAAAATAAATTAAACAATCTTAAATAAAAGAAAGTTAGACTTCTGTAACATGTGCTTCAGTGAACATGTTAACAATGAAGTTTTTAAATTCCATTTTTTTTCATTTCAATAGTTATGGATGACTTCCCCCCAAAAAAGGTTTCCCCCACCTTCTGAAGAATATATCAAATTTTTTTTATGTTTGGGGTGTTTCTGAAAGATAAAAGAGAGTAAATTAAGTATTTCTGTATTTTGTCTCTTTGTGTACTGATTTTAAATACCACCATCATTATTATTACTCACATGCGTACTTGGCAATAATTATATCTCGACTTGACTAGCATCTACCCAACAACTAACAAATGTCTCCTCCGTTTCCTGTGATTGCATATTTAGTATTTTATTTCTCCAAATACAATAAATCTTACAGTCATAATAATTAAACTTAATGCCTTTCCTTATATTCCTCCTCCTTCTCCAAGTCACTGCAGCCCAGCCGGGGTTTCCTAATTTTCTAATTAAGAACCGGGGGGGGGGGGGGGCGGGAACAGCAGACATTTTGGCAAGTTGTTTTTCAGTACTTGGTAACATTGTTTCCCTCAAAGAAAAAAAAGCAAGCTACAGAAAGTTCTTCTGGGATTCTTACTTTCTCTGCTCTAATAACAGGACTAGTTCCAAGACATGGTACAATATCAAAAATCAATAGTATAATAACAACACGCATTTTCTTAAAATTACTGAGCGTTAGAATATAGATGCTCCTCAACAGACAGTGGGGTTACACCTGATACACCCATTCTAAGTTGAAAATATCTTAAGTTGAGAATACATTTAATATATCTAATCATCATAGCTTAGCCTCACCTTCCTTAAATGTGCTCAGGACACTTCTGTTAACCTACAGTTGGGCAAAACCATCTAACATAAAGCCTACTTTGTAATACATGGTTGAATATCTCATGCAATTTATCATGCATGTCACTTTTACATCATCCTAAAGTTGAAAAATCATTGTCAAACCGTCATGAGTGGGAGACCATCTGTATAATTGAGTGGCATAAGAATTGCTTGTAGTCTTAGCAAAAAGGCCCAGCAGAGGGGGGGAAAATCCAGCTTGGGGAGGAAGACAGGCTTTGTCAAGCCTGGAAGACCTACTGAATACACGTACTCCACATACATAAAGCCATGATTTTGCTTCCTAGAAATATGTTCTTTCCATTGTCATCTTTTCTTTCCCCCAAAAGGAAACATAAAAACCCAAAATGCTGTCTTTGTTAAGCATTCACATCATCCCCAATTACCATAAGTACACAGCTAGCAACATACAATTTTTGACACATATATAAATTGGCTCAAAAGAAAATAGATGAGAAAGATAGTGACTATAATTTAAATTATTCTTAGATCAATCCAGGGAATAATAAAGCAGGTGTGGTTTCTCACAGAATTATCTGAAGACACTTCTCTGCGATACTGTGATCTCAAATGGTGAAGGACAATAGTGGGAAATAAGGCGATTAAATTTCCTGCTGGGTACCACAGGGTGCCATCGATCATGCCATCCACGGAAACATACAGAACCCTTTCGTAAGGACCCATGAGAAAATTTTTCTAGGGTTTTCTGTGCCAGAAACAATTCTTATTTTCATTTTTATCTTACAGACACAATGATTCCTTGAACTGCTGTTTCTCTGCTTGTTCCAGACACTGGAAGGTCCAGACCAAAGTATCTTTTACAAACGGAAATGACTTTCTATCATACTTTGGTCCTCTAATCTCCCACTTCACTTTAGAGTATTATTTTATTACTTCTTCCCTCGTGCCGCATGTATGTCTGAAAGACAACTCAAATTCTCTCTTTTTAAAATGTATGAATCAAAGTAATAAATATAAAAAATAAATGGTGCATTTTGGATTTTTTTTAAAGAGAACCTTTATAATTCTTTAAAAGACAGGAGCATTCCCTGGTCCTACTCTCCATGAAATGTTTATAGTTTTATAAGCAAGGTTCATTAAGCAGAACAAAAGAAAGCATTTTTTAAAGATTTTATTTATTTATCTTTAGAGGGGAAGGGAAGGAGAGAGGGAGAGAAACATCAATGTGTGGTTGCCTCTCATGTGTCCCCTGCTGGAAACTGGCCTGCAACCCAGGCATGTACCTTCACTGGGAATCGAACCATGATTGTCTGGTTCACAGGCCCGTTCTCAATCCACTGAGCTACACCAGCCAGGGCCAAAAGAAAGTATTTTATCAAGATGACTCTATAGAAAGTGATAATCTAGTTCTTTATCACTTTTTTGTTTTAATCTTTGATCAACAGTTAAATGTAGCCTTACTTTCAGGCACCACACTACTTGAATGTTTCCCTACCATAACAATCGCCCATTCTTAATCTCCCCACTTGTCCTGAACTCGGTTTTGGAGCTCGCCACCTTTGGCCTCTTTCCTGTCTACTCTTCCCTACCTTGCACTTACGGCTGTGAGTACCATCAACATGCTGGCAAATCCTCCGTCTGTACTTCCATCCTAGACTGCGCCTCTGAATTCGAGACTCATATACTCAACTGACTGCTGTACATCTCCATTTGGATGTCTAATAAGCATGTCAAACTCAGTTTTTCTAAAACCGAAGTCATGATTTTCCTCTCTGAACAGGCTGCACCCAGAGCCTTCCCTATGTGAGCTGTTAGCAATTTGCTCAGTCCTACCAGTTGCTCAGGCCAAAGCTCTGTAGTCATTTGACTCCTAGCTTTCTCTCCCACTCTGTATATCACCCATCGAGATATTAAGATAATTCCAAAATCCAACCAAGCCTTACCACTTTTCACCACTATGCAAGTCACCTAAGATTTATGGCCTAGATTCTCGCTTCTAGCCCAGCCTCCCTACAGCCTAGTCTTCACGGGAAAGCCAGAGTGAGCCTTTTAAAACACAAGTTAAATCATATTACTTCTTCTCTTTGAACCATACAGTGATTCTCTATTTCTTGTGTAATAAGTCTGCAAGTTCTGTCCTCTCCATTGTTTCTCTGCCTTCTCTATTTCCCCTCCCCAGCTCTGTCCCGTCCCACTGGCCACTTGGCTGTGCAGACACCCTCGTTGCCTCAGAGCCTGTGTTTAAAGCTGTTTCTCTCTACCTGGAATGCTCTTCCCTTGAATATTTCTTAGCAGTTTCCTCGCCCTCTTTAAGCCATTTCATCTTTACAGAGTTTATCTGCTCGAAGACAACCAATTCATCCCAGCATCCTTCTGACCTCCTCCGACCTATCTCTCAGATCGTCAGATTCCTTTTATGCTGCTTGTTTTAATTTTTCCATAGCACATATCACATTGTGACATAAAATATAATTCATTTATGTTAGATTTATTGTTTCTCTCTATTTTCCATCCCTGGAATGGAATGTCCAGAAGAATAAGAATCTTTGTTTTGGACTTCGAGGTGCTCCAAGCACCTAGAACAGAACTCAAAACATAGTAGGTGCTCATTAAATAATTCTGGACTGAATTGATAAAGGTGCATATTGTGATTAAGAAATTACATTCCTGTGAGAATTTAACAAAATGTACTAATGAAGCCAAACAACACTGCTTTGAACATTTTACATCTGTCCCCTCGTGGGGCTGTATGAACATTTCTCGGGTATAGGCACCTTTTTTTTGAATTATAAATGTATGATTAATGTTAGATATATCTGCTTCCACTTTTGTTATCATTTTTTCTTTAATTTTTAAGAATAAAAACATTAAAACATTTCCCTAAGATTCTTACCATACATTTTTAAAACAGAAGTTTTGAACATTATAGCTTATTAGTACATACTGACTTCACCTCACCGCACTTGGCAGCCAAGATAGGGGAACCTAAATCACAGAGGACTTTATTCAATACTTTTGGCCAAACTACAGTTCACAACCTTAAGAATTTGATGGTCACCCAAACCCAGGCAGATTTCCTTCTGAGGCACAAGAACAAAATGGCATGGGTCTGTTATGGAAATTTTTCGATACTCTTCATAACAGAGTGATTATGTATAATTAAAAGAAAAATCTGAAATGTATGCTCAGCATCTGAAATCAGAACAGGAAAAAAATGCCCTATGTTCTCACATGAATCCACAGGTACTTCAC